AGAGGGGCAGGATTGGCGAACTTGCGACCCTCGACGGACTTGTACAGACCGGGCTGGAACTCACCACCGAAGGGAGGCAGGGATGCTTCTGCGGTGTTGACGTGGGCGAGAGGTCCGTAGCCGAAGCGCGCGGCGGCGCGTGCTACCTGGTGCTCTTCGGCGGATAGTTGGGGCTGCATAGGAGCGCCGCCGCCGTTGCCGTTGCCGTTCTGAGGAGAGGGAGGAGAAGGACCCACGTCCTTCTCCAGCCCGGCGTTGTTGATTGCTTCAGTTCCAGACATGATGCGGTATCTGATTTAAAAAATGAAGAAGAAGGTAAGTAAAAAAAAAAAGGTATGTAAAAAGGTAAAAGCCGTATAACACAGTTATAGGTATAGATGTAGGAAAGGATTCAGATCAAGCACAGCTCGGGGCTAGGAGAGATGAAGAAGTGGGAAGCTGGGGAAGGGGAAGGAAACTATTATAGTCCCTCTCTCTCTCTCCAATTGATCTTAAGGCGAGTACTTTCCTTTGGAGAAAATTGGATTTTGGGGGAAAAGGGTGGAACCAAACTTACATGGTATTTGTGTTTCCGGTACTCCGTAATATATATTACACATATAACAATGATGTGCAGCCGCCAGGACCCGTTCGTTCCCACTACTCCGTATGGAGAAGTTTAATATAAAATCTGGTTGAATATAAAGTAGAAAGAAAAGTGAAAAAGAGAAAAAAAAGGATAGGGGAATGCACTTAATTATACGAAAATATATCTAGTTTTTTTTTTTAGGCTTGCTTTTATTTAAAATCATTGTTTCACAGGGATCAGAAAGGTATTCTGTCTACAACATACGTAGAATAATGTCAAGTTAAGCCACGCAGGGACGGCACGGAGGAATGGGGGGAAAGGACCGTTCCCTGGTTAATTGGTTAATTGGCAGGCAAGGATGAAGGGAAAAAAGGACTCTCTAGCCTGGGGAAAGAAAGTGGAGAGACCCGAAAGGGAAGGAACAATATGATTGGGTAGACACTTGGGAGAATAATCATCATTCTTTGGGAATTAGGCTAACTTGCTTAAATTACTTAACTTTGGACTGCATAATTCCAGTTCTACAATGTACAAAGGGTTACAATCTATAAGCTTATAATCAGTGCTTGTATCAATTCATCTATGGATCTCACTAGGTTAGTCCCATGGACAGTGTCATCCGTACGGAAATTTACTAGACTCCGTTTAGGAGAACATTAAGATTTCCATGATCATCCAGTAGAGTCCACTTTATTCCGTACAGGGTATTGAACTACTACAATGCATTGCATGAGCATATGGTACTTTAGTGCTACTTTAGTGCAATGGTCAAGTCATTCAAGTCACGCTTTTCAGGTAAAAGATACTTGTTAGAACCGGCATTGTTCGGTGGTCAATCCCGTGTACCAAGTACCCCCCCTAGCCAAGACTGCGTCACGACCTCGGTACTTTTGTGCTAACATTCCACTTGTTGCCGATGTAACGGATTATGAAATCATTTGATCATTATTCTTCACAGGGTTCACTCAAAAAGTGAGAAAAAGTACGAAGTACGGTATATCGGTATATAATAAGTACGGTAGATAAGATTATAGACTCTAAGTCTAGGCTAATGGAGATATATCCGGACAGGATTACGCACCAATGAATTCGTAGTGAGGTCAAATTCCCATTTCATCTGTGCATTACAAAACATCTGATGTATTATTATACTATTATTTATTATTTATTAACTACATTGTATATATTGTATATATTATATATTATTCATCGTTATTTTCTTTTTCTTCTGTGTGATAGTCATTTTCCCTCCACTTAGCGTAAGTCTCGCCCAAAATATCCTCCCTTTTGCCCCTTTTTTCAGTCTGAACATGAATCACAGACACACCACTAACAATGCACCTATAACACACATTACCCACTAGTAGCCTTAAATATACGGTGTACGGAGTACGTACTCCGTACCGGACACCCCATAGAGACCGTTGTCCAGGTCCAAGTCTGTGCATTGTACTCCATACCCGTTGTTTCAAGTCTCGGGGAAACGGGAGAAAAGGGACTAAATACCATATTCAGGTTGACGTGCAAAGAAAGAGGTTAACATCGACAGTGCACAGCCGCGGACCACTTTACTAGACGTGCCGTGTTCTCTTGAATAGGCCATCAGTCCCGGGGGAACCCTAGATCGGCGCACCAGGCTCAGACCTGTTTTACACTTATTTATTTATTTAGTATTTTTATTTTTTCTCGTAAGCCCCGTGATATGCGAGAAACTAGCCCTAGAGAGATGCAAACTTGTCAAGCTTCATCTCCACATGTGGCTCCACGATAGGATTTACGGCTAACGCGTATGACTGACACGGTGGAACCCGTGGACGAGGTTCCGTACTGGCTTGAGATTCGGCCCCAACAAAGATTTTCCCGTTCCAATGCAGACTAATGTGTCCAGTTTAGCCAGGGTGTTGTTGTTTTTTGAGGTCTGTTGATGTCGTGGCAACAAGGTAGTATTGCTGCAGGAACGGGAATAATAATATCATGCAAGATCCCATTAAGGACCCGTGGACGGCATACTCCGTATCATCGGTGACGGTAAATTACGCAAAAGAGTTTAGCGTGTCTATTCGAGTTTAGCGCCTGTCGACGCATTATCGTTGTCTATGTTGTATGTTGTATGTATTAAGTCACCTTCGTCGCCGCTTCAACTTCTAGCTGTTTTTCGCCCTTCTACTCTTTCTTTCCCCGTTCTTATATCGCCAGCGCGAACGGCCGGCCCTGTGTGGCCCTTCGAGCTCTCTAGCGCAGTCTATCGGTCAAAAAAGAGAGAGAGGTTAGGGAGGGTGTTCGTATATTCCATACAGAAGTTAAACAAGAGGCCTTCTGGCTGGCTCTCTAAGCCCCGACTGGCACATCGATGAAGTGATTTCGCGGATATCTTGAGACACAAATTCTTCGACTTCGTCGCCCAGCCGCCCCCAAATATAGAACTTATCGCCAGGCAGGAAAATTGTGTGCCACCCGTCATTATCCTCCATAACCGGCTGTCCTGGTTGGAGACCATAGGATCGAGCAATGATTTGACCTTCGGAGTCGGGCCCTATCCACTCTTCCTGATAATCAGGACTTGATGGGTTTGAGGTCCAGCCAGGGGGAACGGTAAACTGGAATCCTTGGTAACATGACCAAAAACAAGAGGGAGTTAGCCTATACTTACTGGTGGCAGAGCGGAGGTTTCCATATGTGACTTGCCAGGCGAGACCGCCACAGAAGGTGGAGTAGAGGTTATAGAGGGAGGCATTATCGCAACGGTGGACAGATTTCAGCCCGCTTGTCGGGACTGTCAGTTGGTGAAGGGATGGATGATCGGGATTAAGGTCAGGTCTGATGTAATTCTTAGTACAACATAGTTCCTGCCAATCCGCACCTTAATTCTGAAGTTTAAGTAATTATTTACTAATACTATTTATTTATGTAGTTAATTAATACCCTTTAACAATTAGGTGAAAAGACCACCCTCCAGAAGCCATGTCCAACGATCTTTTCACCGTCACCCCCCTTTTTACTCCGTACATCATACAACATATAGAGCAATAATGGGCTCCACTCATGCAGTGCGATAATCGAGGTCTTGCTAAGCGCTCGGTGTATATAGCCCTGTATAAAGCCGAAGGATTCGACTCGGTAGTTTGTAAGCGAAATCTCTGCAATAGCTTGGACTTGTGGCGTTTGCCAAGTAACAATAATAAACAACACACACACACACAGACCACAAATTACCTTTTGGGTCTGAAATACCTACTGTATTATGCCAATCCTCTTTTAGGTGGCCCTTTAACTTTCCCCCTTTGGAGAGTTTATAGTTTATCTTCATGGATATTGCCAATTTAGCCTGCTTTTGTTCATGAGACATGCATGTGTTTAAAAAAAACAAAAAAACAATCTAATATGAAACAATGATTGTTAATTAATTCTTTTGATTCAATTTTGCGATCCAGACCTGATCCGAACGCAAACCCTGCCAATACTTGCATATATTGACTGTTCATAATCCATGCACATTTTAGGTCTCGTCTCATGCACAGATCAATAATCAATAATTGTTGGAGGTACGCTGTACCAATTATATTATTATATTAATTATACCAATTACCGGACCAGCTCCCTTGTCCCGAATTCCAAGGTACAACGAATAGTAGTACTATACGGAGTATATCCTAAAAACTTGGCGTTACTCCCTGCTCAATCCGGCAACACAATGCGGGGATATATTTCTCAGCCCTGGGCGATCGTATACCCAAAGAGCATCATGCATCGTCATGCGAGCTTACAATATGCCGAATACGAACCTTGAAAAAACATACATAAAAACATACATCTGATTTTAGTGAGTATTACGCTTGGCGAATTGGCATTCTTTTATTCCCCCACATCCTGTTCATCTGATCCCCCACAAAACCCAATACCTACCCCAATACACAATATCCAATCCATGGTTCTTTGTCGTCGGTTTACCCTCGGTTGTGTAGATTTTCGGTTCGGCGGAGCGGAACTTTTTCTCGGCTTTTCCAAGATCCTTGGTCTCCGTGCCAAGTCGGTGAAACCCACGTTTTGATAATCTGGGGGAAACATTTAGGGTGCTTTGATGTCAACTACCGAGTACTGCGATGCACACGGGGTATACACCGGCTATACCGGATTTCCCCCGCTTTTCTATCTGACCTCTTTTGGGGCCTAAAGCCACGTGTGGGGGTGATCCTTACCAGACTACTCATACTAAACAAACCCAAAATCCCAAAGAATATTCGCAGAATCAGAATCGGGTATCTAGTATCTTGGTATTGGCACAGCCTGGAGTGAACCAATGAAGATCATGCCTGAGCACTAAATTATTTACATATGCTAACTTCTATTCCAAGTCTAGCTTCTATATACATCCGATGATCTATACAAACATTGCTAAGCAATTTATGATATATGATATCAAAACCAATCCAAATCAAGCCGCAGCCTCAATAGACTTCTGGAACTCAGCACTGAACGGATAGTCAGTGTATCCCTTAGGGTCTTTGGCGTTATAGAAAGTGGCAGCATCATAAGGCGCAAACGGAATGCCCTTTTGAACACGGAACGGCAAGTCAGGGTTCGAAATGAACGGACGTCCAATGCCAACAATAGCATCATAGCCCGCATACTTGACATCCGCCGCCTGAACCGCCGACTCAGCCTCATACCCACTGGCAACAATAACCGGCGAAGCCTTCCCATAAGCCTGTAAGAAGAAATCCAACTTCTCCGCCGTCTCAACATCGTCATTCCCCGCGATGGTCGACTCAACCAAATGCGTATACGCAAGTCCCAACCCGGCCAGCTGCGTAGCCAAATACCCAAACTGCGGCTTCGGATCCTCCATCCTCATCCCCTGGAATGTACCCCACGGACTCAACCGAATACCCGTTCGATCCGCACCAACAGCCTCAACAACCGCACGCGCAACCTCAACCGCAAACCTCCCCCTCTTTTCAACACTCCCACCCCACGCATCCTCGCGCTTATTACACGTATCCTGAATAAACTGATCAATCAAATACCCATTCGCACCATGGATCTCAACACCGTCAAATCCAGCCGCAATGGCATTCCGCGCCGCCTGCGCGTAGTCCGCAATCCACTCGTGGATCTCAGTCTCAGATAGCGCGCGCGGCGTATGGGACTTCTCGTCCATGGCTGTCGCGCTACTCGAGATGAGATCGAACCCGCCTTCCGCTTGCAGGAGTTCACGGCTTGCGACCCGGCCCAATGCCCACAGCTGAAGGTAGATGTAGCTGCCCTTGGCGTGCACGGCGTCCGTTACTTCCTTCCACGCTGCGATCTGCGCGTCGTTGTAGATCCCCGGTGCGTTGGGGTATCCGCCGGCGCGGGCGGTGATGGACGTTGCTTCGCTTATGAGGAGGGTGCCGGGGACTGAGGCGCGTTGGGCGTAGTATTCTTTCACGATGGGGAGGGGGGTGTGGTTATCGTCGGCGCGGAAGCGGGTCATGGGTGCCATGGCGATGCGGTTGGCGAGCTCGACGCGGCCGACGCGAAGGGGGGTGAAGAGTTTGGTCATTTTGGTCTTGATCTTGATCTTTGTCGATCGATGTATGATATATTTGATATATTTGATATATATTGTAAATGGTAGATTGTTCGATTGGTTTTTAGAATAGAGTACATCTGCAGTGGATGGACATGGTCTTATATCTTGTATTTGAGCCTTAGTATCCTCTTCGCAGAACTTCCAAGATACTCCATTTGGATTAACAAGCAATGTGGAGATAGGAAGAAATGGAGTTAAGCCGGCTTCCGATCATAAAGCCTTGGAACATGAGACGACCTCCCATGGTCTCATAGTCTCGTAGATCTGATTTGCTGCCAGTTGGCCCACTATAGCCCGGGGCTCGGGAGAATTAATAATACACAATCCAATTTAACTACAACAGTTGTTGTAGTTAACTAATGGTTTGTCATCCATGCCAAATTGCAGCCATTCCAGCTGAAGAACTGCTAACTACAACATAGATACTAGGTACCTGAATAAAAGACTCGTGACTATATTAGAGGACGGTCCTTGAAGTGACAACATGGGCTGTCAGCTTAGCCCCGCTATCAGGTGATGTATTATTCGCTATTGGTTGGATTTTTATTTTTATACTCTCATCCTGCTCTTTCATGAGACAATACGAGCCTATGCCTCACAACGGCTAATATTTTAGTTTCAAAGTGGCACTTTTGGTATCGCAATTCCAACCCTACAGTAGGTATTGAGATCAACGCACAAATCTGGAAAAGAAGTGCGGAATTTCCAAGGTTGTCTCGTTGCTTCCCTCTCCGGCGGCCGTGATATAGCACAATTTCAAGATCCGGAAGTAGTAGTTAATAACTAGTCTCTATCTACATAGAGGAGGAAGAGGAAGATGATCCGAAGAATAACGAGGATAGATATACGAGAGCAAAAACCATGCATACCATCTAACTTTTTCTAGTATTTTACTCCCATGCGACGTAATAGTGAACAGTTCCCATCCTCCAAACTTTTCACCCTCCAAACTCCCACCACCTTGCTAACGGGCAAGGGTATGCCATCCAATCAAGAGAACCTATCCACCTCCTTCATCTCCGGTATTTTGAACTCGGGGTCCGGATTTCTAAACGTCGATGCAACAGGCCACGCAAAATGACACCCAACTCTTCTCTCTTTCCCGACCAAGAAGATATTGTGGTCAACATACTCCATATGTTGGAGGTGAGCGGCCGCTCCAGCTTCTCTAAACTGGATATTGCGCGTCTAGGAGTCTTTGTTAAGACTTTTGACCCGAACGACAAAGATTTCTTGGCCTCCAAGCAATGTCTTTTCAAGCCCATTTCTAAGGAGGACATTAAACTGTGGAAGATCTCGGCCGCTGAAGCCGCGGTGGTGCGAAATAACCTAGATATCCCGGATTTGGGTCCCGTATCGCAGCATCGGCCTACGTGGAATATCACAGTCGCTACGCAACAGGTGTTCCACTTTATCATGGCACAGTTCCTCTTCCGCCGCCGAGGGAAGACTTCCCTAAGGGATACATTTGGGTGGAATGGAATTGAGTAAGTATACTAGTACACCTGGGCACATTTATTAATCTTTATAAGCGGTAGCTAATGGCGTATAGCCACGAGGAGTTCTACGACGGCAATAAGGGATTCCTCCACTCTCCGTCTGGACGATGTAAAGGCGCTGATACCCCGGGCTGGAGAACTTGCTTACTAGAAGAGTGGTGGGATGGTGAAATCCTCGCTGGACCCTCCGTCCGTTTCATTGTCTGCACGGATGGAATTGCCGAGGAAGACAGTCTACTACTAAGTGAGCTTGGAGCAGTCGCTCAGGTTATTGCGTTCCGCCGAACCCAGCCGGAGTTCCAGACCTTTCTTTTATTCCCAGTGAGCCAATTTGCACTGATATGGCCTATCCAGCTATTCTAATGATATATATAGGTACTCATGATTTCTCTTTTCGGCCCCCGACACGGGCGAATTGTCCAAGCCTGCTACGACCGGCGCGGTGATAGGCTCGAGCTTCGAATCTCTCAAATTTTCTGCTTCGCAAACAGGAGTGATGCAGAATTCGATACATTCGTTCGATTCACGGCGAGTTACCCGCCCGAGATAGCAAACCCCACCTTTTTCACGTCTCTCCAGATCATACTCAATGATGGGTGTCTCGCGAGCGATCCCTCACAAGACTGGGAAATTCTGTCGAATATTACGCTGGAGAATCAATGAAAAGTGTTGCAAACAATAAGATTGTCATTAACAACTCATTTATCTACTGCTAACATGATTGCGAGAGCAGTGGCGGCAAATTCCTCCATGTCACGGTCACTGTCTATCAACCATGGCCCATACCGGGTCATGCGCAGAAAGCTATCCTTACGTAGGCCAATAGCACGGTTACCTCGCAGCCACTGTAGGTAGACATCGTCGAAGCTTGCCACAGTGACATACAGCTCAACGCCGTCTTGGGAAAAAAGGAAACGGTGGCTATATATTATTGTGTTAGCGCTTCTTAACAGCCAGCCTCTGATCAACAATAGGGGACTACTACCGGGTGCGGATGACAGTATCGCTCTTTAACCGTGTAATCACTTCGGCGGTCGAAGTTCCAGTAGGAGCAGGGAAGATATCGAGATATCCTAGACTCCATTAGTAAATTGACCAATAAAACTCGAGCTCTTCAACATACTTCACTCTGTCGCCGTACGGGTATGCCTTGCCGATCACGTACATATAGCTCCACGAATCGACTCATAACTCTTGTTCGTCGGTTTAACTTCCATTTGACAATTGCGACATGATTCTGCATAGATATAGCGGGCTCATGCGCATTTCGCAAGAACCTCTTAGTTCCAACGAGGATATTAGTTGAGCCATCTCTCCCCGTGAAGTATCCGGGGCGACTCAGTATGCCACCCCACACGTAGCTCTCTCCTTGGTTCATATTGCCAGGACTTCACAAGTACCATGCTGAATCTATAGTTATACAATTAGCGTAGTACTTTATATAGTATTTTTACAAATGAATACTACATTAATCTTTTAAAACCGGGCTCTTTATACTCCTAACTCTTAAGTCTTAACTCTTGATTTCTTGATTTCTTACTATCTTACTATCTTAATCTGAACTGAACCTGAACTGAACCTGAACTGAACCTGAACTGAACCTGAACTGAACCTGAATTGAATCTGAAGTGAATCTGAATTGAATCTATAAAGTGTATAGGATAGAAATAAAAGAGAAGTTAAATTAGTAAATGCCCCAAGAAGGCGGTAATGAACTAGACGGTGAGGTAGTAACCAACGAGAGAGTTATGTGTCGGGTGGCATATTTAAACGCCCGTAGGTATGCACCAAAGGGCGGAAAGCTTCGCAGCCCTCGCCTCGCCTTTTTGAAGCGGTGGTCCAAGCCAAGATTGTTTCGCGAGTTGACGTTCAGTCTCTCTTCGACGGACCATAGTACCTGTAACAGGAGGTACTCTTCTTTGCTGATGTTGGAGCCCGAGCCCTATTGGTCTCGTTGGTTGGGGTGTGTTGTGGATCCGGAAAGACTGACAGCCTGTATCAAAGCTTCCCATGTCTGTGGAGTATCGCAGAATATCCTCATTGTAGATAAGGTGTCAAGCGCGTTAACAAAAGATGTGGGAAAAATAGAGAGCTAAGGGAGGACATGAGGGGAACCCAGTTTGGGTCATAGCGAGACAGCCGTTGGGCGCTAGAAGGTAGGAGCGAGAACTTGCCATTACAACTACGATAATTTCCTCGACATACAGTCACCTAAAAAGCCACCTTGTTAGTAGAAGGGATTCCCAATTTGTTGAATCTCTTTTGTCTCCAAATGCCTCACATCAACTCCCCATCATGTTCTTTATCGTAGGCACAGTAAACTCTCGTTATAGTATAGCCTTTACAAAGGCTAACGCCGAAACTCCAAGGTGGAAAGTGGGAAGGAGATGACATCGTTCAGAAAGTCAAGGGATTGTCAATAGATTTAAGCGCGCGGTAGAGGGACAAGTTCTTCTTTAGTAAGGAAGTATAGTATATAAAGGGTAAATACAGCCATCGATAGACACCGGAATTAACGGATGCCTTTAACGGACTATAGGGGAGCTTTTTAATAAGGTTCTAGGTCGGAAGACGGAGGTCTATGTGGTTGTAAGGCGGTATAAGGATGCGTTTATAAAGGAGGATAATCTATAGGAGGCTCCTCTCATATAACTATACCAAGTCCAGCACGTGCTAAAGCTTTAGTAGGTCTAGAGCTAATAGTAGCAGAGGTGGTGGAAGCAGAGCTAGTAGGCCAGTAAGAACAGAGCTATTGGAGACGGATTTAGATGAATCAGGGTATTTCTAAGTAGAAATCAATAGAAAACTTGAATCGCATGTAAGTCCTTATAAACCACCTTGAACATTGGATTCGTATAGGATAAAAAGCTTCATATCGTTGCAACCCTACAATGCCAGCAGAACGAAGGTACTTTGATTATTAAGGCAAATGTATAGTGACTAGTTAATTCAGGTATTTTGATATTTCTGTCTTTCTACAATAGAAAATAGGGCATTCAGGCATCAACCCCATGTACTTGTGTAGTGGGTTCGGAATCCAATTTAGCTCTAAGGTTAACCCCACAAGGCGGCGTTTTAGGCTTCTTATTGGTAAATCGCCGCCGACTCGACTCCACTTGGCTTGGACCATTATTGATCTCTCCCTCCTCGGACTGTGTCTCATCTTCCAAGGTTGTTGAGAATTGTTTGCGGGGTTTTTCGGTATAAACCACCCCGAGTATTACATCATTGTCACTAACGGAGAGTAGTTTCGGCCAACGCACTTTGAGACATGTAGACCCCGATCGATTGTTTGCGCATTTTCATATTGACGTTTGAGATTGTGTTGTGTTTACTTGCTTTCACTCCTAGCAGCCAAAAGGACGCCATGCATATTTCTCGCTGTGGCATTCATGGTTTCCATGAACTGCTCGGAATCGACACTGATGAGATCCGCTTCTACTGGGCAATTGAGAGCGAAAACCAACATGCCACTCAAGTCTTCTATCGCATTGTAGTGACAACCGATCCTACAGATCTCGAGTCATGCAGTCCAGATCCTTCCAAACTAGTCTGGGATTCTCAACCCATTGAGAGCAATGAACAAAGAAATATCGTCTGCAAGCCCTCCAACGGCTTTCAGTCCACTACCAGCCACTTCTGGAGAATCACAGTGTGGGATCAAGCCGACAATGCCCACCATAGCGCTATAAACCACTTCTTTACAGCGTATCCTCGGTCCCATCTTCTCCCGCCGTACAGTATGAACCAGACATACATGCCGCACACCAGTCTGATTTTTAAGTCTTGGTTCGAAGACGAGGCAAATCGCTGGAAAGCGGTTTGGATCGGCGATGGAGGCGACAAGCCCATTTATCTCAGGAAGTCCTTTGAGTTGACCCGAAAGCCAGTTCGGGCTATATTGTTCGCATCGGGACTTGGCCACTTCAATATGTCCATCAATGGCCAGCCGGCTTCTGACCATCGCCTTGATCCAGGCTGGACCAATTACCACCGCCGTGTCCAGTTTACCTCGTACGATGTGACAGGTCATCTTGATGCAGGACAGAACGCCCTGGGCGTTCATTTGGGCAACGGCTTTTACGCTGGAGACAAAGGTGGCGATGATCGCTTCTTCTGGCCCATGTACGAAGATAACACATACGTCCGGTACGGGAATGAGCTTTGCTTCTTCGGTGAATTGCATCTTTTCTACGAGGACGGGGAACATACAGTTCTCATTTCCGATCGCTCTTGGAGCGTGAGGAAGAGCGCTACTACACTGGCGAACATCTATGCCTCCGAGAATCATGATCGACGTCTCTACCCTTCAGGCTGGGACTCTGCTAGTTTCGATGATACCGAATGGGCGCCCGCGAAACCTCTGACTGGCCCTAGAGGCCATATCTATTACCAGACCCAGCCCCCGGTTGTGCTACATGAAACCTTCCAGCCGGTTAAGATCCATAGCCCCAAGAAGGGGGTTGTCTGTTATGACCTAGGTCAGAATGCATCGACCATGGTCAAAATCGCTGTCGAAGGTGCGGCGGGCTCAGAGATTATTGTTCGATACTCTGAGACTGTTAGAGAAGATGGCACTGTTTTGATGCCTGATCCCCTGTTTAAGGAGTTCGAAACGGGTGTCTTTTCGAGAATCTTCCTGTCCGGTACTGGCCAGCCTGAGATATGGGAGCCAGACTTCAGCTTCACGAGCGCTAGATACATTCAGGTCGAAGGTGTATCTTTGGATGCAGGTAGCGAGTTGCCTGTCATTCATTCCGCGCATGGTCGTCATATCTCTTCCGCGGCTAGAAAGGTTGGACATATGACAACCGACAAAGCTGATGTCAACTCATTGCTGAGTGCCCTGAATTGGTCGTTCAGCAGCAACCTGTTCAGCTACCACACAGATTGCCCACAGATCGAGAAGTTCGGTTGGCTTGAAGTCACCCATCTACTGGCTCCAGCTACGCAATACATTCGCGACATGGAGAGTTTGTACACCAAAATCCTTGATGACATCCTGGACAGCCAGGAGGCTAGTGGCCTCGTGCCAACAATGGCACCCGAAATACGCTATATGTGTGGCCCACTACATGACACGATCACTTGGGGCTGTGCGCTCTGCCTCCTTCCGGATATTCTTCGACAATATTACGGGTCCACACACGTTATCCCCAAGGTGTACCCCGCAGCAGTTCGATATATGGAATATATGCAGACCAAAGAGCGCAAGGGTGGGCTCATTGAGCACGGACTCGGCGACTGGGGTCGAGGTATCGCTTTCGGCAACAACCAAGCAAACATCGAGACAGCGGTCTATTACCGCTGCCTGCAATGCGTTGAGATGATGGCACGCGAACTGGGCAAGCTCGAAGAAGCGGAGAAGTTCAAACAGTGGTCTGCTCGTGTCTACGACGTCTACAATCACCACCTTCTTGTGACCGATGACCCGTCGCGCCCCTATGTCTATTATACATCTCTCGACAACTACCCAGAAAGGGACTGTGATGCAATCGCCCAAGCTATGGCTTTGCAATTTGGACTCGTACCCACCGAGTTCCACAGCGACGTCATGGCAGCCTTCCTGGACGACGTAGCCGATGGCAAGATCCGTGCTGGTGAAATCGGGCTACGCTTCCTCTTCAACACGCTCGCTGATGCGAAGCGGCCAGATCTTGTTTTGCAAATGGTGAGACAAGAGGAGCATCCATCATACATGCGTTTTCTGCGCCGTGGAGAGACTACGCTCCTGGAGTTCTGGCAGGATGAATGCCGTAGCAAGTGTCATGACATGCTGGGCACAATCTACGAATGGTTCTATGCTGCTGTGCTTGGGTTGAAACCTGTCTCAGAGGCATACCGGACTTTTGAGATTGATCCTCCTTACGAATCTGAATTCAACAATGTTAAAGGATCTGTCGATTCCCCCTATGGGCTCATTTCGATTGAATTCACGCGCACTAACAACACTTCGGTGAAACTGAACCTTCAGGTGCCATTTGGGACTACTGCTACACTCAAACTTCCGGCCGATATGAAGGAGGCTCAAGTTGGCTGTGCAAGGGAGGAAATCAAACCCGTCCATGGGAGAGAATTGGAGCTCAACCATGGACTATACACTGTATTCATTCAGCTATAGACAATGGAATCATAGACTTTTTTCTTTCTAGCCTTCTAGAGAGCCATCTTATAACTTGACAATTTTCGCTTCCTCGAGGTCAAAAAATCAGAGACTTCTTACCATTTCAGACTACTCTACTCACTATACTTCTCCCCCACCAAAGGGCTGCACGGGCGACTAAGTATGCCACGGGGGCACAACTCTCTCATTGGGTTTATATTGCCTAGCAGATTTTAGATCCACTCTCACCATACAAAAACCAATTTGTTAACTATGGGACAAACCGAATTAATTGCTCCGTAAATCTTAATCCCGAAGTTGACCAGCTTTATATGACCATTCATATGCCATACAAAGTTAGGCTTAGAAAGTGTGGAAGGAGAGAGAGGTACGATCTGCCGACTAACTGCCTGAGGGTGCCTAAGGCATAAACATAAAGGCCTAAGGCCACTATAACAACAGCGGTCAGGCAATGAGAGAGTTGTGCCCCGGTGGCATAACTAACTACACGTAGGGCTACAACTTTGGTCATCGAGCTAATTCGGTTAGCGTCCAATTTCTCGGGGAAATTCAGAGCGAAGGTCCGTGCTTTTTGTTTTAAGTTTAACTTTGGAAATCTGTAGACCACCGCCAAGCAAGCACTACCCCCGAATCCTAGACAGTAAAGGACGGCAAGAAAAGTGGACTAGATCATTCATGTCCTAGTTCCGTTATTGTTTCGCCATCCTTGGTACTCTTCGATGTCTATATAATATGCCTCGGATATCCCCCACGGGGTATATCCCCAGATTCTGTCTAAAGCGTGCTATCCTTCGCTTGATATTCCAATCACCACCCTCGCCAAGATGGCTAAACTTAAGACTCTGTTGACAGCCATGTTCCTGGCCACTGGAGGTAGGCATTACACATCCAACATGGTTCCACAGAAAGGAACCACATGTTAACACTCTCTATCAGGCTTCCTGTTCGGTTACGACAGTGGTATCATCACGTCAACTATCGGCCAACGTGAATTCATCAAATACTTCTCTGATCCCAATGACAGCGTAACCGGCGGTATTGTCTCTGCATTCCAGGGCGGCGCCATCCTGGGCACAATCATCAACATCTTCACTGGTGACCGTCTGGGCCGAAAGTGGTCTGTCTTCGCTGGCGCTGTTATATCGTGCTTTGGGTGTGCATTGCAGGCTGGTGCTATCAATCTGGTGATGCTCATTGTTGGCCGCTTTATTGCTGGAGTTGCGGTTGGCATGCTTACTTCTGTTATTCCTATGTATGCTGGTGAGATCGCCGAGGCTTCTTCACGTGGTATGATGTCCGGTCTGCTGCAGTGGATGTTAAGTTGGGGATATTTTGTTGCTCAGTGGTTGGGTTATGGATGTTCTTTCAACAACACTTCCCTCCAGTGTAAGTGAACTCTTTTAACATGGGATCTACTCTAACTCAACTGTACGGGACATTCTTTGTTGGCTTCATGCTGATCCATTTTTTTTAGGGCGTTTCCCTCTTGCTTTCCAGTGTGTCCCCGGCCTGGTCCTAGTAGGCGGGATTTTGTTCTTGAACGAGTCCCCGCGTTGGTTGATGGAGCGAGATCGCCACGATGAAGCTCTCGTTTCACTCCAAAACCTCCATGGTGACGGTACACCAGAGACAGCGCAGTACATCGAACTGGAGTTCCAGGAGATCCGCGAGACCATCCAGGCCGAGCGCTCGCAGACAAAGGTCTCCTTCACCACAATCATACGCAAGCCCTCTTGGCGGCGCCGTCTTATTCTCGGCTGTGGCGTTCAGGCCTTCGGTGTCTTGTCCGGAATCAACGTCATCAACTACTACGGCACTCGCATATACGCAACGCTGGGGTTTGACACACAAATTTCTCTCATGATTATCGGAATCTCTGGTGCCCTGTCCATTGTCTACTGCACTGGAGGTCTATGGGCACTGGAACGTGTGGGCCGTGTCAAGCCTCTCATTTTCTCTGCTGTGGGCATGGCAGGCGCACTGGTCTGCAATGCTGCCATGTCGCAGCACTGGGACGCGGGAAATCAGAACCAACTCCGGGCTATGGTGGCTATGAACTTTGTGTTCGCTTTCTTCTATACCTTCGTTGGTATCATTGCTTGGGTCTATCCTGCCGAGATCTTCCCTGTCGATATCCGTAACCAGGGTAATTCGATCACCACCTTCACTAACTGGACTATCAACCTTGTGCTCGCCCAGGTTTCGCCGAATGCCTTCTCTGCAATTGGCTTCCGTTACTTCTACGTCTTCTTTGTCTTCAACTTGATTGCCATGTTGTCTTACATCTTCTTCTTCCCTGAGACACAGGGTAAGACTCTGGAGCAGATGGATTCCTTGTTTGGTGATGAGGCACCTATAGGTGCTGAGGATGAGAAAAGGACAACTGAGGTGGTCATGGTGGAGGATACGAGCAAGTGATACAGAGAATTGTTCAACATAGAGCATCATCTCTTCGGATAACGTCTGAGTGGGAAGTCAATACACCCAATTAATGTAACGATAATCAGACTGAAATATGTTGATTATAGATACTGAGAACTATAGAGCCTGTATGGGGACAAAATTGATCTTGCAGAAGCAGTACTATGAAAAGTAGAATCGCGCTATCCAAGATATATATCTACAACGTATGCATTTAGTTTAATAAGTACATATCACTGATAACGTCTTGTGACAATACAAAAGCTATTTCGATGTGTGGATGTTCTCCGAATTCAATCATATCATTTTGAGATATTGAGGGCGGGTCTTAGTCAGCGGGACCCCCGAGTTATGGCAGCGCCTCGCTGTTGTACCAGTGTACCCTATACATCTCTGACAGTATGGTTCGAAGCCATCCAAAGAGGGCCCGAGCTGCAGCCTGTGTCAACTGCCGGTAGGTTCCGGCTCATCTATGATTGACGTGATGTTAAATATGAAATTTCAGCATGCGCAAAAGACGATGCAGTCCAATAGGCGATGGGCATGGTTGTGAACTATGCCGATCTCTCTCGATTCCATGCGGGCTCGACGATCCTTATCATGCCTCCAGCCCGTCCACCATCCAAGGGACGACAATGCAAACCAGTCGGGAGGTCTTCCATGAACTTGTTCTCCTGTACTTTCGCTTCATCCACAATGTCATTCATACCATGATCCACGAAGCAAGCTTCATGCACCAGTTCAATCAGGGAACAGCATCAAGGATGCATGTTTATGCCATGTGTGCACTCGCTGCCAGGTTTTCGGACAACCCTGCCTTCCATGGCATCGCCCGTGGCTCGCGCGGAAAAATTTATATCTCCGAAGCTGTACATTTTGCCCAACCGTCTATTATTATCCCAAGCCTGGAATCAATGCAAGGCCTGATTCTGATTGGCTACTACTATGGTGGAGAAGGTGACGGGAAAGCAAAGCACATCTATACTGGCCTCGCTAGGTTACACGCAGAAACCTTGTCACTCTGGGAGGTGCCCAACGATGGCACTCCCCTCTCTCAAGAGGAACATCGCCGGACATGGCTTTCGGTAAATATTGCTAGTGATTGGTCAGCAATAGATATATCAATCGAGCCTGTATCATTGAACCACGGGCTACAGGTCGATCTTCTCAAATTCGATGATATTGCTTTCCAGAGTCTCGATCCAGATCAGTTCCAAGGACCATATCGTTTGCCTTCATCCCCGTACAACATGTGGGCTTATATGGCAAGGACACTCGGGATCTTTAACAAGACCAGCGTGCTCCTGCGACGGATGAGCCAAGGTTTGATTCCCTTTGATGATTATTGCCAGGAGGCGGCCCTACTAGAAGGGCGTCTTGATCAATGGGAGGAAAGTCTGCCCCTGAGTCTAAGGTACACCACAGAGAACATCATGTCCTCTATGAAGCAACGAATTGGTCGCACTTTCCTGGCAATGCATATTGGCTACCACCACTTTCGCCAGATTCTATTTTTCCCCTTCCTCGATGCACGCAGGGATCATGATAATAGAAAGCTTTCAAAAGGTGCCTCACAATGCAAACGAAGCGCAAATATAATATCCGAAATCCTACGGCATAGTACGGACACCCCAGATTGCGATTTGAACTGTTTCATCTACGGGCATATCGCTGTGATCAGCTCATGTATCCACCTTCATACTCTTCTCTTCAGCGATAACCCCGAAGCACTTTCTATGGCACGGCGATGGCTACTCTTGAACTTCAAATACTTGATGGATATCAAATCATATTGGCCCGTGGTCGAGCACTCTGTAAGTCCTCTACTTCGAACTGTTCCATGCAAATACGACTGACTGACTACGTTGATAGGTGGCACGTCTGCGCAAGTTCCACAATTGCTGTCAGGATTCTGTATCAGATCCATTTGTGCTAGACAATTGGATGGCGCGCTTTGTTACCGAGCACACTTCCTACCCCTCTGAGCGCCAAACTTCCGCGGTACAGCCGTGTGACCCGGGTCTAGAGAGTACCACAGCACGCAGTATGTGCGCAGAACTTCATACGTACGACCCCGCCAACAATGTGCAGACCAGTTCTGAGGTGGATCATCTATCCCATTTGTTGGATGACGAACAAGTGACCAGCGAGGCTCTTGTCAATCATGCACTTGACTGGTTGCTCGAATGATGTTACACGGAAGATAACCTAGAAAGAACCCTACTCCCACTCTGTAAGCGAGTAATAAAATTCTAGGCACCACCGGCTGCCGCTCCTATGAACAATACTGAGCACTCACTGAGCATCAGTCATGTACTCAGTGAGCCTGAGGGAAAATCCGGTAACATATAGGCACATGTAGAAGCTACCTAACTATGTACTTGAACACATCGGGACTTGTACAGGTGAAAATACCGCAAACGCCATCCTTTGGCCTAGCCATGGACTATAATCATTGCACAAACACTGCTTCCTGGTATCATAACGGACTGTAAAAGAACGCAGAACGCAGAACAAAAAAAATAACAAAAATAGAAAAATAGACATCATCGCTCTAGGCGACCAGCAGTAGCTTCGAGCTGTGCGTTGAACGCCCGGATTTGGTTCAAGAGACCGCCTTGTGCTCCAGGGGCTCGGGAACTCACGTCGGCAACAGTGCGAAGCATGTATTCAATATCCGTAGAAGAATCTGCAGTAGAAGCAGAACGTTGCTTGTTACGATCGAGGGCCAATTCAAGGCTGTGGAGGGAATTGCTGATCGTGGATCGTGACTAGAGACTTATTGTTAGTAATGTTTTCGGGGATTTTAGGGAAAGGTCTCACCAATTTCGCCTTCTCCTCTTCAATATGTCTGCTGCGCACTGCATCCATCTGCAAAGCTATGTTCTCGCGCTCTCGACGGACCCGGTATAGATGATTTCGTAGATCCATCATTTCCCGTTTACTCTTCTTCAATTGCACGCCAAGCACAAAATTGCTATCGAGGATCCCGCTCAGATCCATGAGACGGCTCTCAAGCTCCGAGCCGAATAGTTCAACGGCTTTTCGCTTCCGCGACCACTCTGCACGTCGCGTAGCATTCGCCTCGTTTGAAATCCCATCCTTGAGTGTATCGAGTGTTTTCTCCAGAGTCTCGCGGCAGATCTGGCTCAATACATCAGCTGGATTGACACCGCCACGGTTGGGCATCTTGGCCCTCTGGTGCGTGGTGAGTTCATCGGCGGATTCTTCTTCATCTCCCGACCCATTGGCCGTAGATGTTGTGCCGCCTAGAGAATTGACGTTCGTAAGACGGTAAACAGTGACCGGAATTGTTTCTCCACGAGGTTCTCGGGTCTTGCGACGAGGCTGTTCTTGTGTAGGTTCAGGGTCGGGTTGGTATTCAATCTCGGGTTCAGGCTCGGGCTCCACTGTGCGCTTAGCCTTCTTCCCTGGTCTGCCGCGCTGGGACTTGGGTGCTGCAGATTCTGCTGCAGGGTCCAGCTGGTCTTCTGTGACAGGCTCAAGCTCGGGCTCGGCTGCGCGCTTCGTCTTATTACCGGGCCTACCACGTTGAGTCTTGGGTACTGCAGGCTCCGCTTCGGGCTCCGGCTCCGGCTCTATTGCGCGATTGGCCTTCTTTCCAGGCCTGCCACGTTGGGGCTTGGACACTGCGGATTCAGCTTCGGGTTCTGGTTGGTCTTCTGTCTCAGGCTCGGGTACAGTTTCGGCTGCGTTTTTGGTCTTTTTCCCGGGTCTGCCACGAGACTTGTGTACCACAGATTCTGCCTCTGGTTCTGGTTGGTCTGCTATCGCAGGTTCAGGTTCGGGCTCGGGCTCGGGTTCGGCTGCGTGTTTGGTCTTCTTCCCGGGTCTGACACGAGACTTGGGTACCGCAGATTCTGCCTCTGGTTCTGGTTGGTCTGCTATCGCAGGTTCAGGTTCAGGCTCGGGCTCGGGTTCGGCTGCGTGTTTGGTCTTCTTCCCGGGTCTGACACGAGACTTGGGTACCGCAGATTCTGCCTCTGGTTCTGGTTGGTCTGCTATCGCAGGTTCAGGTTCAGGCTCGGGCTCGGGTTCAGGCTCCACTGCTTGTTTCGTTTTATTCCCAGGTCTGCCACGTTGTGGTTTGGGCACTGCTGATTCCACCACAGGTTCTGGCTGGTCATCCGTTTGTGATATTGGCTTGCGACGCCGACGTGGCCCCGAAGAGGACTCCGCGACATCTGATATGGGTTCAGGTGAAACATTCACAGTCTCGACAGCTTCAACAGTCTTCTTGTTAAGCGAGGGTCTCCCACGAGGCCGTTTGGTCTTTGGAGCTTCCTCAACTGGGGCTGTCGCGGATTCATCTTGCCCCTCCGCTGCAGGTTCCTGCGCAGCGACATCCGCATTCGGTTCTGGAGTGTTGTTTGTGGTAGGTTGATGCCGTGGACGACCCTGAGCTTTTTTAGTCTTTATAGAAGACCTCTGAGATGTCTGACTGGCTTGCTCTGGTGCATTATCCTCGGATGGTGGAACATCCTTAGTCATGTCGACATCATTATCAATAGTCGGCGCACCGCTAGCCTCAAGAGCCTCGGCGGAGCTACCACGTGGTGATAAGGCTTCTGTGGTAGATTTATCTGTTTGAACAACTGGAGAAGGGGTTTCTGTAGTAGCCCGTTGATCGTTATTGGTTCTTTGGATTTGGTCCTCAGGCCGTGGTGGTGACCGAGTGTTATGTCGTTTCTCACGTAGTTGCTCTGTGTTTTCAGTCTGTTCGACCACGGGCTGAGCTTTAGGTGATGAAATTGGCGCTTGTGGTTCTTCAGCTACTGCAGGCGCCGTAGGACCAGACACTGGTGATGTGACTTGGGCTTGTTGCTCTGCAGCGGCTGATGTTGTTGGTTCCACACTATTGGTCCCCTCTTCTATCGGGTGTTGATCTTCGACTGTAGTATCCGGAACGGGTGAGATTTGAAGCTGCGGGGATTTATCGTTTATTTCTGATGGAGGAGGTGCATCTGTATTTGGAGGTTCATGGGTGTGGCTTGTTTGAGAGTCTGTGCTACCTCCACCGTCATCGACGGGGTGTGTATCGCCATTCTCAGGTCGCCCGCCATTGCGACGAGAAGGAGTATCTTCTGTTCCATTAGTAGGATCTGAAGGTGTATTAGCACACATTTCTAGCATAGCACACCAAGCTAGTCCATAGCATACTGGTCTTTCTCCTCTTGTTGCTTCGTGTTTGTTCAGATCTATCGTCCGAGGAGGGTATCTCGTAGGTTGAGGGTCGTTCTGGGAGCTTGTTGCGCGCACTTCCCGGTGTGCGCTCAATCCCTCGAGCTTGCGATCCCTTCAGCGATCGTGGTGTTGTGTTCGGCGCGGTCTGTGTTTGCGGCGGCGGTGGCTTCTGAGTTTCAGGGACCGTCGCAATCGGGGCGGGCGCTGGTAATCCAGGCGCTGGGCTACCAAACGAGAACCCAAAATTGACTTCTTTTGCTTTGCGCATCCTATACCAGCAAGTCAGTTTTTGTATGTTATGGTTTCGCGGGGTATAGGCAAGGCGCGTACCCAGCTCCACGCTGCCGCATTTGCTGCCGCACCTCTCGCGCTGTCAATTGTTAGCAATTCCACACATATATAAAATACAGCATCACAGCACATACAGGCTTCCATTTTGGAGGAACGGCGTCGAAAAAGACGCGTCGTGTTGATGGTTGAGGAGTAAAGACGAGCGGTCGGAGCCAAGGCGATCGGAGCCGATCCATTTTTGTGCCGATTCCTCCGCGCTCTCAACCTCCAACACTCTGTTGCACATTCTTGGACATTCTCGAATTAGTATTTCCAAATGGGTTGGCTCTGGGGTGACAAAAATGATACTGTCCAAAAGCTCGATCCGGGGCTTCGTGACTATCTCGAACAGGAGAAGCCCGACAAATATGTGCCTGGACCCAATGTGAAGCCGCCCTCGACGTCCGCGCCATCGCCCGAACCATCTGATCCCTCGAAACCGAAAGTTCCTGCCGCATCCCTCTACCCAGATGGCCGTTATGCTGAGCTATGGAAAACCTACAAGCCGCCGATGGAGCTTGACGAACAATCAGGAGTCCGTGGAGCTTCGCGAGTGATTGAAAAGTACAAGGAGCGCGGCGACACAGTGCAGCGAGCAGCAATGGAGAACTGTGCCTTGGAACATGAAGCCTTGACACACTGTTTTAAGACCGGCAATTGGCGCAAGCAGATTGAAGCCCGGCTGACCATGTGCTCGGAGCAGAATGGCACCTTTTCGCGATGCTTTACGACTCAGACTGTGAGTTGGCGCTAGAACTCATAGTTTTTTTTTCGATTATATGCGATTCTAATATGTTTCCGTTAAACAGAAATTCCTCCAAGCTCTCGGTTACGCATCCGGCTTCGAATATGACCCCGAAAAAGAGGAGCGCATTCAGATGCATGCCGACAAACTCTACCACCAGATGCTAGACTACGAAAAGCGAATTGAGGAAGCAAAGGCGGCTGGAATTGAGCCACCGCCTCTCACATCGCTTTTCAACCCAGAGAAGCCCTCGAAAATCCCGGAAGTCGGCCTTGAGATTCCTGGAGGGGAGGCAATCCCGGAAGAGCTCAAACCGTCGAAGCCCTTACAGAAGCTCACGCCACATGAGCGAGAGTTGGAGATTCGGGCACATTATGCGCAACGGGAACAGCACAAGATGTATGCGCAGGAGGCTGCTCCTTTCATGAAGACTCAAGATGATGCTCGACAGAAGCGAGAGGATAGAGCTGTAAGCTGGTTTGGAGAAACTCTCGGCAAGTGGTTGTCGTAGATGAATCTGAATTCTTGTATTTACTATTTTGCTTTTTAAAAAATGGCGATTGGAGAGGCGTTGGGGTTTGAAGTTACATTGTATAGGTGTTTTCCCATATCTACCTAGGTAGTTAGTGTGTAGAGAGTAATAGCTACACTTGAGTATAATTTTTGAAGTCCTTGATGTTATTCCCTAGGTGTCTCTGTCTTTTTTTTTTCTTTTTCTATCTCCTTCTCTAGTGCTTCTAGGGCTGGTACATAGGGAGTTTGAGGACCTCGGGTACTTAGAGATTGAACATTTTCAGTAGAAACAGTCAGTTTGATATAATCTAATAGAGATATTCATATATAAGAAAGTATTCATATAATATTCATATAATATTCATAGCTTTCATGAATATAATCAAGAAGAATGTCAATAAAAACCCCCCCGTACATCGCCTATCTAATCGTTCGGTCGCGTTCTCCCGCGCAAACAACTCGAAGCATCATCGTAGAATCACGACTCTCTTCCTTTAACCTTACTCTCCAACTCCTTCCCTTGTTCAACTCAACTGTCGCATCTTTTTATCTTCTTCCATTCCAATTTGAATCATATTTCCTTCTTGTCTTCCTACCTGAGACTAACTGATTCCTCTCCAATTCAAAAGCTACCCCAGATATCATCTGACAAAAAAAAAAGATACCTGGATCATTGGACTCGGAAATTCTCTATTGTCTCTTTAGGCCATATTTTCCTACACAAAAACCGGTGGTGCTCAACAAGCTGAGCTGCGGCGCTCGCCATGAAGGCCACCCCGTTGCTCATCTCATGGCATAATGACAATGCCCCTATCTACTCGGTGCATTTCGATCCCAATGGCAAGGGCCGATTAGCTACTGCTGGAAAGTAGGTTATATCTGTGCTCTCAAAAGTGTTGAACAATTTTACTGACTACTTTCTCTTTAGTGACAATAACGTCCGAGTATGAACCCGTCCTCCGTCGCCCTTCGCACACCTTAATCTGACATGTTCTCTACAGCTCTGGAAAGTCGAGTCCACCGGGGAGGAAAGAAAAGTCTCTTATTTGAGCACCTTGATTAAGCATACACAGGCCGTCAATGTGGTCCGTTTCAGCCCGAAAGGTATGTTTTTCCGCAGGATAGCATATGGCCGCAAGTCTGACAGGTGTAGGTGAGATGCTGGCATCTGCCGGAGATGATGGAAATGTCCTACTCTGGGTACCATCGGAGATACAAACACAAGCTGGGCTGGGTGAAGATCGGTCAGACGATAAAGAAACCTGGCGAGTGAAGCACATGTGTCGTTCGTCTGGCGCCGAGATTTACGACCTGGCCTGGTCTCCCGACGGTGTTTTTATCATTACAGGTAGCATGGACAACATCGCACGGATTTACAATGCCCAAACTGGTTAGTTACCCTCGAATAATTCTCATACAGCTTATAAGCTGACCGAATTCTACAGGGCAAATGGTACGACAGATTGCCGAGCATTCTCACTATGTTCAAGGCGTAGCATGGGATCCGCTTAACGAGTTTGTCGCGACTCAATCGTCAGATCGGTCCGTTCATATTTATACATTGAAGACCAAGGATGGGCAATTCACATTGACACCACACGGGAAGGTCCTCAAGATGGATCTCCCTACCAAACGTATCGCATCCAGCAGTCCTGCGCCTCCAGATGTGACTAACCGGTCTCAACAAACTGCTGGAAATTCCATGGCTATTGCCTCGCCTGCTCCCTCAACTCCGGGGACTCCAATGGCTTCCAACCTACCCATGGATCCTCCTCCAGTCTCACATAGCCGGCGTTCTTCGTTCGGCTCGTCTCCTTCCATCCGGCGGTCTGCGTCTCCTGCTCCGTCTCTCCCGTTGCCTGCCGTTAAGCCATTGGAGGTCTCCTCCCCAAGTCTTGGTGGCCTCGGGGTCAAGAACGCCAGCATTTATGCCAACGAGACGTTTACTTCTTTCTTCAGGCGACTGACTTTTGCTCCTGATGGAAGCTTGCTGTTCACACCCGCTGGTCAATTCAAAACTACTCACGTATCAGCTACGGATTCTACAAAGACGACCGACGAGATCATTAACACGGTTTACGTGTACACACGGGCTGGTTTCAACAAGCCCCCGATCTCTCATCTTCCAGGGCACAAGAAGCCGTCGGTAGCCGTCAAATGTTCCCCGGTCTTTTACACGTTGAAGCAAGGCACGCAGCCCGCGAAAAACATTACCCTCGACACGTCTTCGGGTGAGGAGACGTTCTCGTCTCTTCCAGACCCCGTGGTATCGGGAACCGCATCTTTCACCAGCCAACCCCATGCAGTCCCTCCATCAACAACGGCCGAACCATCAAAGACTCAGCCATCCCAAAAGACCACTGAGGATGGCGGCAATGAAGCAAGCCAGAGCTCGGCGCCCGTCTTTGCACTTCCTTATCGCATTGTATATGCTGTTGCCACCCAAGACGCTGTTTTGGTATATGACACGCAACAACAAACCCCGCTATGCATTGTTAGTAATTTGCATTTTGCTACTTTCACTGACTTGACCTGGTAAGTACTGGTTCTATTCCTAATACCCATGTATTGGTTTCTAACGTACAGCAGGTCCGCCGATGGGTTAACATTGATCATGAGTTCCTCTGATGGCTTCTGCTCTACACTCTCATTCGCACCTGGAGAGTTGGGTCAAACATACATAGGACCAGCCTCTGTGGCTCACAACCCTGCAAACCCCACCACCCCTGCGACAAATCTCACACCTCTGCTGACACCAACGCATTCGGTGTCTCCTCATGTACCATCTCCAGTCAAGACGAACCATGCATCCTCAAATAGCATGGGTCCCGCACCGCCAGCTAGCCCTGCACGGTCGAACTCAACCTGCTCAGTCGCGACGCAGCCTTCCACACAACCAACCCCCGCGGGAGTTGTGAACAATCCTACTCCGACACTCGGAACTGTTCCGTCGGTGACAGCAACACACTCTGCGCAGCCACCAACACTTCCACTCACAACCCCACCACAAACGCCAATCTCCGGTGCTCCACAGAACGGGCCCGGTAGCAGTGTTCTAGGCAAGCGTGACGCAAGGCCGGCAAGCGAGTCTGAAAAAGAAGAGGGCAAGGGAGATCCAAATAATGCGTTGCAGCAGCCGCCAAAGAGACGCCGTGTGGCGCCCACCCTGATCTCCGCAGGTACCGATGGAGCCTCGTCCTCAAAGGACAACAAGTCCTAAGTTGAGATCATGTGGAGGCTTTGGTCTCTTGAAATCTTTCTCGGTCTCTTGCTTTGCCAGCTGCCGCTTCTTATGATTCATGCTTTTTTTTCTCTCTAATCATTGCTCATGCTATATCCTCATATTATTTTATGTTCTGTATTTGCACTATCTTTGTCTTTGATTTTTTCTTCTTTTTTTCAACAATCGGGTTTATGGTGGATGGAGTTGCGAGCTGAACTACCTTCTCACTCATGTTTTGCTGATCCTTTGATCTATGCATGCATTGTGGCATGAGAATAAAGAATAAAAAATATACTATATTTACCTTCTAAGTAGACGATTAGTGAGGTCATCTAAAACCACGCTCTCGGAATACAAAAAGTCACTCTGAAGAATCTAGCGCAATGCTAAAAATGAGACTGTAGAATGAATGTATCAGTCATTCGCCATTCGAAGCTAATACTGCACGTCCGTTGTCCCTCGATCCCTTGAATATCAAACAAAACTATACCATAAGTCATATCGCTTCCTGATCCGTCTTCCATAATACACATGAGTGACAACAGCGCGCATGATAATAACAATAGTGGCCAATCACAACAAACCGAATAAGTCATTTAGTCTCCTCCCCATTGGACGTGAAACTCGAAAATCCACCCAAAGCATCCAAAAGCGAGCAATCAGGCGGTAACACCGACCTCGCCTCAGTAGCATGTGGGCTAGTCGTCACGGTGGTGACGTGGAGCGTTTTCCCAAGTTCAGACTTATCAAACCGAGATGCGACAGGAGCAACAGCCAACTCATTTGCCCATCGAAACAGCGCCTCACCACTTCGAGAACCACCGGCTACGAATAGGAACTCGGGATATTTGGTATTGGGAAGGTGATCCAGTATATAGGTAGCGACTCTCCCATTTCCAAGAGCAGCGTGTGGCGGTTCAACCTTCACAGATGTTGCTCCGCGGACGACATGGAAATCCGCGCGCCCGCGTGCACCGTTGATTTGATCCGCTAGCTCGGAGGCCTGGCGAGCGGCTACTTCGCGGTCCAGCACGCCGTCGTAGTGAAATGTTAGGGAGCAGCGGCGTTCCTCGATTCGGCTACCTTCTGTTCGCTCGTGGAAATACTCCATCATCTTTTTGATACCGTGACGCCATTTCATGGCGCTTTCGGGCACAAATGGAATCCATGGATCTGATTCGGGTTCTTGCAAGAAGCATCCATTCTCGACAATAAAGCCGAGCTTGCGAGGGAGTTTTTCGAGTGCTTCTTGGAGCTGTTTGGCGCCCCGGTTGCTGACTATGTATAGGATGTTCTTGGGGTCGGCTATGAGTGTTTTTAGAGTTGCGCAGGCTTCATTTGAGGGGAGAGACTCTTCTATGCCGAAAGCTGGACCGAAGATTGCGCCGTCTTCTAAAAATAACATCCGTGCTCTGGCGGCGAAGTATGACTTTTTCAAGTCATTAAGTGAAAGCGGCGAGAGGTGGTTTGTCAGACGGATTTGTTGTATTTCGTGGGCTTTTGTGAGCGCATCTTGTAGCCCCATGTACCATTTCAGAGCAGTATAGGGAGATTTGCACTTGAGCAGGAAATTCCAGTTGAATTTCCGCTCCGCCGGTGTCATCTCAAGTGCGGATTTGATTGCATCCGCACATTGTTGGTAGTCCCACGGATTGACGAGGAGCTTGTGGCCACGAAAGATGGAGGCACTACCCACGAACTCGCTGAGGATCAGGGATCCATGCTTTTGGGAGGCAAGTTGTCCATCTTGGCAGTGGATAAAGTCATGGCTAGTCAAGTTCATTCCCTCGCGAAGATTGGTGGCCATGAAGATATGTGCAACACTCAAGAGGGCGATGAATTGAAAGTGGCTGATGTCTTGTCGGACCAAGACCAAGGGCTGATGAGTGATGGTTGAATATGTTGCATTGATCCTCGTTGCGATTTTTGTGATCTGTACTTCCAGGTCTGGGATCTCAGATGCAGACGACATTACTTGGACTAGAACCACCTACATGGAAAAAGATCAGTAACGGTCACACGCAATAAGATAAGTTAGCCGACTTACTTGATCTCTCCATTCTGGGTTGGTCTTGAGAAAGAGTTCATATGCCAGAAGTTTCTGCTTAATCCCTCCGGGTGCATCCAATCGATCCCGCGCTACAATGAGATGTTGCCCTTGGTATTTATGACCGATGCTGTGTATCCAACCCTTGACCTCGGTGGATTGGCGCAATATATAAAGTGACATGGGGTCAATCCCTAATGGAGAATTCACAACACTAACGTACCGATCATTGAGGTGGACTTGATTGGCAGAGACCTCCAGCCTCTTCAGTCGGCTACAGGAGTGAAGGAAGTGGTTACAGTATTCCTCTGTCTGGAATCCAATCAGGTCAGCGCCCAGAAGACCATCCAGCAGTTCCTCACGTAAAGTCAAACAACGGAAGATTTCGGAGGAAGGAAACGGGGTATGCAAGAAGAATCCAATCTCGGCCTGGGGTAATCTTTCCCTCAAAAGACCAGGAAGAACTAGAAGATGATAGTCATGGACCCATATTCTATCACCTGGCTTCCAGTGTTTGATGATTGTTTCTGCAAATGCCTTGTTGAGCTTGAGGTATTGGACCCAGGAGTAACCATCGTACTCAGTATGCCGAGGGCTTTCTTGCATCTGATAATGGAGGGCTGGCCAAAGTACGGCGCGACAAAAATGGGTGTAATGACCCTCGAACTCGTCGTCACTCACAAACACAGTCAACGAATCATATACACCTTGGAGGGTTTCAGCGATGTCCGCCCTGGTATGCTCTGTCAATGAGTCGGTAGGCATGCCCACAGTTCCCACCCAAGTCTTGTCCTTGAGTAAGTTGGACTTTTCAGCAGCGTGAATGGCATTTTGTAGACCTCCATGGCCTTGTTCGGCGGCCTTAACGACCCAGTCAGCATTGGAGAGCGAGGCTTGCGCGCCATTGTAGTATTTCATGTCCCATCGATCCTGTGATCCATCCAGAGACAAGTCCTTCCTCATCGAAATGGATGATGTTGGAGGATCTGTCGCCTTGGACTGAGGCTGATTAAACCTCCGGCTGCGTCCCCAATGAATGGCACGGGGCTCGCTGGGGCCGTGCCATAATCGGTCATTGGCAATCGGAATCTCATCTGCTAATCGCCAAGTATATTCTTTGAAGACCGTCTCGTCTTCTGTCGTGGCTCCGGGTGTCAGTGGGAGACAGCCAATGGGACGAGTTGAACAATGGGTATCCAACGGGCGCCCAACTGTAGATCCAGGACCGTCGACATTTGCATGGCTAGACAATGATGACAAGGATCCGTGATGTCCATGCCTGGGCTCTGTTACTTGGAAATCGATGGTATATGGGAGGAACCTGGTATATCTGTCAGACCTGTGGAGTTTTTTGTAGATGAGGAAAGAACCCACAAAGATGCAATGAAGACCGTCATTGCACTATATTCTAGTTTGCAAATAGTCAAGGGGTTCAATTCATAGTGCAGGTGAGTCAAGAATAGTTAAACAATGAGGATGGAGGGGTTCGGACTTTTGAAACGGAAGGGACAGCTCGTTTGCCACTGCCCTATATATATATCTCTCTCTCTGTCTACTTTACTGTATTGGGCAGGATCTTTCTATACTGGATTGAAACATTGTACGAATAGTCCAAGTAAATATAGATATAAATAATGGTCTTCAAGAGAACTGCAATGGAAATGCAGACTCCGTGTCTTGTTCTATCCTTTTCAACTCTATATTGGTTTGGATCTACCAGGATTACTACACCGAGCACTTTCTCCCCAATGAAACCTCATCCAGCATTTGTTGGATTGGATCGGTGCAGGTCTGTTTTCTCTTCTCTGGTAGCCTGACCGGTGGGCCATTGTTCGACCGATATGGCGCTTCGGTAAGGAAGGACTTCCTATAACACTAGTGTTAGATGACAGCTTCCCTCGATTCGAAGGACAATAATAGCAGGACATATCCCGGTGGGGAAAATATCTACGCGGGTTAGCCAATCCAAAATACGTTATAGTAAAGAGGATTGTATACATAATAGGATGTAGGAAAAGTAAATTCGAACGGCTAGAAATTCAACAGTGAGTTCGCTCATATCACTGGTACGACGACCATACACGCTCCCTTCCGTGGCCGAACCACTTGACTAGCGAAGACGGTCTTTTAGTGACTGTAAGTAAGTTCAGATTTTGGTATTTATTCGATTCTCTAGAATGAGTCTGAGGAGTATGCCAAAACAGAAAAACGATGAACACATCGAGGAGTATTAATGTTAGTTGTCTAGAACACGTGATTCGTTTTAGTTCCCCTGTAGATAGAGAATGCCTTCTTGCTAGCAGTTTCTCTAGCCTTATACTATTCCTCATTAGGTCAACGGTATATCGCCACTCTTTGAGCACGGTCCGACAATTTAGATCCGAACAGGCCAGCTGATAAGATGCGGAAAAATTCTTCAAGACCCAAGAGATTGCGACAACGATAGAGCTAGAGTGGATTAGCGCATAACGTTTTGGCCCACCCTAGCTAACGCTATGATCACATATATTCGTCGGTTTCACTTTTGAGTTAAACAAAAGGCCACATGGAGTAAAACGTCGAACCATGTCAACGTAAGGCCAAGCTCAAGAAGTCAGCTGCACGGCGAGCCACCTATGCTGCGTGCGTGTCCTCTCTTCCTGGCGGGGGACGGAAGGCCCACCACGTCAGGTTGGGGATCCTGTTATCATCGTAGTGTCACAGGATTGACAGAAATTCGAGAGATGCGGAGGGACGCGCAGGTATTGAATGGATGTCGACGCGTGGAAACCAGCTGCAATGCGCGTATGCATCCACGGGAATGAAGCATCGACGATGCATATAGCCTTGGCACCTTAGAAAAAGAGAGCCAAGCTCATAGGATACGAGAGCAGTCTCGCAGGATAAGCTGCTGCGTCTTGGTTTAATATATCATTCAAGCAATAAAGTCAAGAGACTCAGGAGATACATG